GTACTGTTTGGAATTCAAAACAACTTCATACAATGGTCAAGCACAATAAGAGGAAGTGCAGTGCACAAGAGATATAACTCCATCTTCAGTATTTATAGAGTTATTGCCCTTTTGTTTCTTTTCCTTGTCTTTCTGGACTTATTACAGAGTAATTCAAAAAAACTTCATCAATGGCCAATCACATTGAAAGGAAATGCAACATACAAGAACCCACAACTATATTTAATGCCCACAACCATAACTCTATATTTCAATTCTTTTACAAGGTATTCTGTGACTAGTAACATCCTCATTTCTGAAGCACTCTTGTGGGGGTATTAATCACATTTAGTGATAGTTCTAGTTTTTATATAGTCCCTCAATTCCAATATCTTGGAGAACCTTTCAATACTCATTTGTAAAATTATGTATGATTGCACCCAAAAATGTCGAAATTAGGCATTCTCTGTAGAGAATTGTCCCATTTCAATGAAATTGATTTTCATTGAATAGATAATTTTTAGCTCACCTGTCGCAAAGTGACATGGTGAGCTTTTGTGATTGCTTTTCGTCTGTCCGTCGTCAACTTTTACTTTAAAAGAAGTCTCCTCATAAACCGCTAAGCCAATTTCATTCAAACTTCACAGGAATGTTCCTTTGGTAGTCAACTTTAAAAATTGTTAAAAGAATTACATTCTAAGCAGAACTCTGGTTACCATGGCAACCAAAAAAAAAAAAACTTAAAATATCTTCTTTTAGAAAATCGAAAGAGTAGAGCTTAAATATTTGGCATGAAACATCATCCAGGCAGTGTCTACCAAGTTTTCTTCAAATAAATGCCCTGGGGTCAAAAATTGGTCCCGCCCTTGCGGGGTCATTGTTTATCCTTACTTGTATATAATAAAAACTTAAAAAATCTACTTTTAAAAAGCCCAAATAGCTAGAGCTTAGATATCAAGCATGAAACATCTTCCAGTGGGTGTCTACAGAGTTTGTTCAAATAAGGGTCCTGGGGTCAAAATTGGCCCCTCCCCGGGGATCATTGGTTTTCCTTATATTTTTATAGTAAAAACTTAAAAAAAAAAATCTTTTAAAACACCCTTAGAGCTAGAGCTAAGATATTTATCATGAAACATCTTCTAATGGGTGTCTACCATTTTTGTTCAAATTAAGGCCCTGGGGTTAAAAATTGGCCCGCCATAGGGATTATTGATTTTTCCTTATATGTATATAGTACAAACTTAAAAAAAATCTTTTAAAAAAACCCAAAGAGCTAGAGCTAGATATCAAGTATGAACTATCTTCTAGTGAGTGACTACCAAGTTTGTTCAAATAAAAGCCCTGGGGACAAAGTTGGCCCCGCCCAGAGGGGGGATGGGGTAAAATTTGTTTTTCCTTATATGTTGATAGTATAAACTTAACCTTTTCCCTTATATAAGCGTGTTTCGACGGCTTTTTGCCCCCCCCCCCCCTTTTTTTGAGGCCAGTCAAACAGTGAAAAAATGCCCTATTTAGCCCCAAAACACTGTTTTTCGTTTGAAAAATGTTGATAAAAAAGTGACCACTTTTTCGGTGCCGTCCCCCATCCAAATATTACATCAGGGGGTTGCCAGAAGGGGGATGTGCCCCCTTCTGTTTGAGGGTTTGAAGGGGACGGAGTCCCTGTCATCGCCAAGAAAATTTTGGACATGTGACAGGCTGAATGGCCACAGGTCGATCTTAGGGTAACTAGTAACCGACGCTGAAAAGCCCTTTACTCTATCTCAATTCATTGAGAAGTTGCAGCACTTTGAAATCACTTTTGATGGAAAAAAAAAACAATGCAAAATAGTGATTTTTTGGCAAATTTGAGATGTCCCCCCTTTGCCATGGTAACAGGAAATTTACCATTGAGCATGCTGTTACAGAGGCCATGGTGTAGTCAACATTTTGTGCCAAGTTTCATTAGTAATTCAAGCATTTTTCATAGTTTTCATAGCAGTTTGAACTTGTTACAGGAGGCTTTTCAATGAAAACGGCCATTTTTCGCAATATGCTCATGGGGTAAAAGGTTAAAAATCTTCTTACAGCTAGAGCTTAGATATTTATCATGAAACATCTTCAAATGGGTGTCTACCAAGTTTGTCCAAATAAAAGCCCCTCGGTTAAAATTTGCCCGCCCCGGAGGCCTTTATAAAGGTGAGCGATTTCAGGGCCATTATGGCCCTCTTGTTTAGATATATTTGGACACTGTTTGCTAATGAGAGTGAATACTATTTTCTTCAATTTCAATATTAAAATGACAATATTACTGTATACAATAGATACTTTTGAAAATTACTAAACAAAACAAAATTATTTGAATTATTATTAGTCCCCTACCGGTTTACCGGAGGGGACTTTAGGTTTACCCTCCGTCCGTCTGTCTGTCCGTCCGTCCGTCTGTCCGTCCGTCAGTCCGAGCCAACATTTGATTATTATGAGCTTCATTCCGTAGTTAAATAAAGAACATAAACTCATAAAATTTAAAATTAAGAGCTATTTTTTGTTTTTATGAGCTTATTTTGCTTATGGACGTTGGTCCAGGTGGTGTTTATGAGCTCATTTGCCTCATAAACATCAAATTTTGGTACGTCCGTCCGTCTGTCCGTCCGTCAGTCCGTCCGTCCACAAAATTGGATCCTGCGATAACGCAAAAAGTACTGAAAATATTTTAATGAAACTTGATATATGGATTGATGGCAGTATGGAGATTATGCACGTCTTTTTTAACCAGGTTTTCCGAAGGAAAAAACTGGTTATTAGATTGAGGTATGTCGGCGGGCGGGCGGTCGGGCGGGCGGGCGGACGGGCGGGCGGGCGGGCGGCGGGCGGGCGTAAACAATTTCTTCTGTGCGCAACTCCTCCTACATTTCTCAACGGATTTTGACCAAACTTTCACAGAAGCTTTGTCATCAAGTGCCCTGGCGCATATTGTCAGGGTTTTGCGATTAGATAATATTTGACCTAATTATGGCCCTTTGTTTTTTTCCTTATATAAAATATATAGTGAACAATTTCTTCTGTGCGCAACTCCTCCTACATTTCTCAACGGATTTTGACCAAACTTTCTCAGAAGCTTTGTCATCAAGTGCCCTGACACATATTGCCAGGGTTTTGCAATTGGTATATATTTGACCTAATTATGGCCCTTTGTTTTTTTTCCTTATATAGAATATATAGTGAACAATTTCTTCTGTGCGCAACTCCTCCTACATTTCTCAACGGATTTTGACCAAACTTTCTTAGAAGCTTTGTTATCAAGTGCCTGGCACATATTGTCGGGGTTTTGTGATTGGATAATATTTGACCGAATTATGGCCCTTTGTATATTTTTTTCCTTATACAGAATATATAGAGAACAATTTCTTCTGTGCTCAACTCCTCCTACATTTCTCAACGGATTTTGACCAAACTTTCTTAGAAGCTTTGTTTTCAAGTGCCTGGCACATATTGTCGGGGTTTTTGTGATTGGATAATATTTGCCCGAATTATGGCCCTTTGTATATTTTTTCCTTATACAGAATATATAGTGAACAATTTCTACAGTGCGCAACTTCTCCTACATTTCTCAATGGATTTTGACCAAACTTTCACAGAAGCTTTGTCATCAAGTGCCCTGGCGCTCACTAAATTCCCATGTTTCTTCCAAGACATCATTCAAGTATTTTTTTTAAATTGTGAACATACTTTTCTTGATATCGCAAAAAACACCACACGCCAATATTGTTGACAAAAGAAAATGACAAGAGACGCAAAAATGCAAAAATTAAGCAAAAATAAAGTACTGTTTACCTTTCTAAAATATTTGGGAAAAAAAGGCGAATAGACAACATAAAATTTCTCAATCATTTTTGTTTGAGGAATATTAAAAAAGCCATAATTCCTCCTAAAAGTTCAATTAAAAACAAATGCCCCTTCATGACAAAGCTTCTGTGAAATATTTTGCTGAAAACCTGGTTGCATCGCATTGCGATGTTTCTTGTCTTTTCTTCCTATGTTGAAAATTCTGGTTGCTATGGCAACAAATAGACTGAAAATATGGCAAATTTTACACATAACCTGGATCCCGCGATAACGCAAAAAGTACTGAAAATATTTTAATGAAATTTGTTATATGGATAGATGGCAGTATGGAGATTATGCACGTATTTTTCTTTTCTTCCTATGTTGAAAATTCTGGTTGCTATGGCAACAAATAGACTGAAAATATGGCAAATTTTACACATAACCTGGATCCCGTGATAACACAAAAAGTACTGAAAATATTTTTATGAAACTTGACATATGGGTAGATGGCAGTATGGAAATTATGCACATCCTTTTCTTATCTTCCTATGTTGAAAATTCTGGTTGCTATGGCAACAAATAGACTGAATTTCAAGATTTCTGGTTCTAGTTTTTAAGTTTTTTCTCTATAAGTTCTTTATTTCTTAAGGTATTTTCTTCAAACTTTAAATATAAGTTGCTTGTCATCAACCACATCATATGTGACAAGGTTTACAACTCTAGCGCAGAATTTTTCAGAATTACCTCCCTTGAACTTTAAATTTTCTGTTTTTTTTTTTTTTTTAATAACTTCTTTTTCTGAATGTATCTACTTCAAACTTCATATAAATGTTTCTTATTATCACTCAACATTAAATTTTGTGAGTGTTCAATACTCTAGCAAGACTATTTCCAGAATTATGCCCCTTTTGAACTTAGACTTTTTTTTGAGAAATTGGTAATTTTTACTCCAACTTCTACAATCATGATAGGATTTTAAAAATGTTATATTTTGATAACAGGGATGTTTAAAAAATTACTTTAGAGTGTCTTTCAGTCCGTCTGTCTGTACATAAAAACTGTTTCCTGTGATCACTTTTAAAGAACTTTTTCAACAAATTTACTTAAAATAGGAACCTAAGTGAATGGCCCTTCAGAATGTTGCTTGGGCTCTTACCGGTAGGGGACTTATGGATTGATTGCAATACTATGATAATTGCTTGTTTATGTTGTAGGAGATAAAAAGACGCAAGGTAGAAGATTCTCCTCAACAAAAAAAGTTTCAATATGAAAAGGCGAAATCAGGTATGTTATATCGAATATGAAAAGGCGAAATCAGGTATGTTATATCGAATATGAAAAGGCTAGATCAGGTATGTTATATAGAATATGAAAAGGCTAGATCAGGTATGTTATATAGAATATGAAAAGGCTAAATCAGATATATTATATAGAATATGAAAAGGCTAAATCAGGTATGTTATATAGAATATGAAAAGGCTAAATCAGGTATGTTATATAGAATATGAAAAGGCTAAATCAGGTATGTTATATAGAATATGAAAAGGCTAAATCAGGTATGTTATATAGAATATGAAAAGGCTAAATCAGGTATGTTATATAGAATATGAAAAGGCTAAATCAGGTATGTTATATAGAATTTGAAAAGGCTAAATCAGGTATGTTATATAGAATATGAAAAGGCTAAATCAGGTATGTTATATAGAATATGAAAAGGCCAAATCAGGTATGTTATATAGAATATGAAAAGGCTATATCAGGTATGTTATATAGAATATGAAAAGGCTAAATCAGGTATGTTATATAGAATATGAAAAGGCTAGATCAGGTATGTTATATAGAATATGAAAAGGCTAAATCAGGTATGTTATATAGAATATGAAAAGGCTAAATCAGGTATGTTATATAGAATATGAAAAGGCTAAATCAGGTATGTTATATAGAATATGAAAAGGCTAAATCAGGTATGTTATATAGAATATGAAAAGGCGAAATCAGGTATGTTATATAGAATATGAAAAGGCTAAATCAGGTATGTTATATATATATGACTAGGCTAAATCAGGTATGTTATATATAATATGAAAAGTCTAAATCAGGTATGTTGATTATATAGAAAATGAATTATATAACATATGAACAGGCTAAATAAAGTTTGTTATATATTATATAAAAATGCTCAATCAGGTATGTTAAATAGAACATGTAGAATATAAAAAGGGCTAAAATAGAGAAAACAAGAATTCATAAAGAAAGCCCAAAATGACAAAATTGAAAATGTTGCAGGCTTCCTGTACGAAAATGCCTACCCTGACTACACCCTGATTTGACATGGGATCAGAAATTTTTTCCCAGCCAGGTTTTTTAAGCTATTCAGTTGACTATAGAGAAGACAGAAATCTATTTTTAGATTTTTTAGTATACAATATATAGTGTTTTCAGGGTGGAATCAACGAAATATTTAAATGAGCCAGAAAAAATACCACCCTGAAATGGAAATCCAGGGCAGAATTTTCACTCACACAGATTTCTAAAAATAGATTTACTTCTAGTTAAATTAAGAGCAATTTCGGGGTGGGATTAATTTGAAATATTTAAATGAGCCATAATTCACCCTGATTTCTATTTAAAAAGTCAGGCCAGACATTTTTCCTCCTGTTTTTATTCTGCCCCAAAATTTTGCAAATCCCACCCTGAAATTAAAATAAAAATTCCACCCAGATTCCTGTTCTTTTTTATATTTGACAAAATAATAATTGAGATTTTTTTTCATTTATCTGTATTTGATTTTCATACAATTAAATACATTTCAAAAGTCATTCTTGTTTGATATTTCCACTAGGAAGCTGCACGCTGTATTACATAATTCCACACTATAGTCTCTGGACTACACAATCTGTAAACATATGAAAGCAGTGTAGGAATATGCTATTGTCAACTTTCAATTTATATATTAATCTAAAAGAAAAGGTAACACCTTAATATAGATAAATATGTCCATACAATGTAGTTTTAAAGGTGTAATATTTCATTAATTTTAATTGTTTTAAAACATCAAAAGAACAAATGATTGATGAAATTGTTTTAAAGAAGCTACAGCATTATAAACATACCGTATATCGATGTACTGGCTACATGAAGTCATTAATTCCATAAAATTTGCAGGAATGAATACTTTTAATAATTAACACTGACACTAATTTTGATAGAAAATGAAAAAATTAAAAATTACCAGTAATAATTCTTCTATTGTATTCTTTTGTTCCAACTACACCATTTTTTCTTCTTCATCCTCTTGTCACATGTTACTGAAATATTTGGCTTCAACCTAAATTTAGGAAGTAGAAAAAAAACAACAAATATTCAATCATGTCATAATTTTTATTACATTTTATTACATTTTAAGACTTCAGTTTTTTTTCTAAAATGGAATGATCAAAATGTATTGTTTATTTAGAAAAATTAAGAATGATTTCATTTTCCTCCATATTTAAAAACAGGTTTCCTGGAAAGTTATTTAAAATCTTTTTTGAATAATGAGCTTACAGAATTCATAATTTTATGAAAAATTAAAAATATTAAGAAGTGTAATTCAATTATAACTTACCATTTATCTGTTACAATTGGCTGCTTATTTCCCTCCATTTTTTCAAATTGAATAACAAAGTTTAACACATCTATTATGCTCCATGTTATATATAAAAATTTCACAATAAATTTCCCAAGAAAGTTCTGTATAGCTAAGGTAGACTAGTTGAATTCTTAGATCACATTTTCTATGTAATTATCAAAACTCATTTATGTATTAATATATAATTGTAAGTTGATTTATTTGAATTATAATCACAACTAAAGCCTCCAATATTTCTAAAGAAAATGACCATGCTGGAAATAATTTTCAGGGTGTGATATTTGCTCTGGCTTTTAAACTGCTGTCGGTCAATCTGTGGTAACTTCTCTATTTTCATCTGCCAGATGGCCCAGTTTAACATAAAGTATTTTGAAATACTGTAAAAAGTTCCACTTGAAGGTTATTTGTTTACATAAACTGAAAGCTGACCTTAGAAGTAGGAGATCCTGTACAGATTGTACAGATTGTGAGATGATGGATATTAACTAAAACTCTTGTACATTACTTATTGCTGACCAATTAATGCATTAAATAATATTTTTTTATCATAAGTGAAATATAAATACAATCAATTACCAGTAACAATTATCAATTTTATAGATAACAATAAATCATGTTGAGCAAAATAATCTACATAATTTCAAAAAAAAGTAATAAAGAATAATTCAGTAAATGAAAATAATTTTTGTAAAATGGAGTTTACCATAAATAAACTGAAACTTTTCAAAATAGACATTATAATATATTTTCTTCTGAATTAAAAATTCATTTTTTTCTGAACAGCAATGTAATCTGTACTATAAGTATATTACTTACAATATTCATTTCTAATAACTCTAACTAAGAAAAATCAGGCTGGAAATGAAGAACTTTAAAGACTGTATTGAAACTGGTTCTTGAAAATTTTCTAACATTGCAATATCGGGGTAGATTTTGCTTATATTTCTCCAAGTCAGTAAAATCTGTGTCAAATATTTTCAAAGTGCAAATATTCCTGCTTCCACCCTGACTTTTACCAAAATGAAGACGATGTCAGGGTAGAAAAAACTTGAATTCCCATGTGAGATTTCTTGAAAATTCAGGGTCCATGTCTATTTCACCCTGATTTTGCCAATACTGGTTCAAAACAGGCCTGAATCGGTCCTGTTTTTCATAAAAGCCATGCTGATTTTTCGTACAGGTTGGTTTGATTGAGCCTGTTCATGGACGGTACTGGTAAGTGCAAGCTACCGTCCACGCCTCCTAGCACTGGCTTAAGCAGAATTCAACATTTAAACATAAAATGATAAAAGTTTGCATTTAGAAACATCCGTAGATATGTTCATATGGCGGTTTTCAATGCGACACTTCCGTGCCATTCCATGAAAAGCCATGTATGGTCCCCAAATATTAGAAAGCGTGTGCCTCAGCCTGTACGAAATTTTGGCACGGATTCTGGGCGGAATTGGCACGGAATTGGCACGGAATCAGTGATTTCTGGGCGGACCAGGGACGGAAATGCAAAATCCGTGCCATTCTGTCTCACAAGAAAAATATTTTGTGCCTTTTTCTGGGCGGAAAACTAGAAAAATTCCGGCTGGAATTTTATTTTGAGCAGAATTTATACTTAAACATTTCATCTTGGACAGAATTTTCAACTTTGATTTTTTTTGGGGTAGGAATAGTCTTCACTATGGGCGGAATTCTATACTTAAAAATTTTTCTTGAACAGAATTTCACATATAAGATGTCCAAATCATAATTGTACTCTCAATGTTTTTGCACTTGCAGACATTGAAATTTTACCTACTGTACTTATTTTTTTTGCTGAACCAATAATTACAGGTGTATTTTTAGAATTAATATAATTTTTTTTTAGACATTAAAATAGGCCTTCTTTTTAGATAAAAAAAATGTGGCATTAATAATATATTGTCAGACTAATTTATGTTTTTTGTACTGAAAAACAATTAACTGTAATAATCTTAGTGTAGAACTTGAAAACATTCACCTCCAAAATGCTTAAGTTTATAATATAAAGATTTTTCATACAGCTTGTATTATAATACATTTACTGTATTATGAATTTTTAAATATGATTTTAGGACATCATCTAAAAGCAACATTAAAATAAGAATGCTTTTTAAATTTGAATATACTATAGAATATAGGGCAGTCACATCGGGACAGGATTATAAGTGTGCTTGCCATTTTAAATTCTAAGAATTTATGATTTTGTTATAAAAAAAAAAAAAAAAAAAAACAGTGCATGAAATAATCTCATATATTATGCCCTTTTAATCTATATAAAATTGATCAACCAATATGCCCAATAATTGCTTTTATTTACCGTAGGTAAATAAATACTACAATGTTTATTCACTGAGATTATATTCACCTAGATTTTACACTACACAGATCAGAGCACTGATAAAACTCTACTGACCAGCAGTTTCCCATCATCTATGCATGACTGGTCATTCCAACAGATCAGGCTGTTCCATGTAATTATTTTGGGGAGAGATAACATTATAAATTGCATATGTAGAATTTGTCTAGGACATATTGCAATTTTTTTGTACAAAAATTTGTAATTGTTTTTTAAAATTTATATATATCTATTTGATTTTTCTTTTACATTCAATGAATGAAAGTTAAGATGATGAGTAAATTAACCCTGTTTTACATAATGATGGACCGGTCCATTATACAGTAAACTGTTGTGAATTTTGAATTCTAAGATATCTGGGTCAGCAAAAAGAGTGCAAATTACAGTGGATATACTTGATATTTTAACAATTTTGGAGTAAAGTTTTGTTTAAGATCTCAAAGTGTTAAAGTAATTGGTACAAGGAGATGTATAACATAATCAGGTAATTATTAACTTTTAGTTACATTAATTTTATATGAAAACTATCAATACTAAGTAGCCAACTAAAATTTGTAACAAGAGGTCATTGTTGTTTTAGTATTTTCAACTTCATACATTTGTTTTTTTTCTGATAATTGTTTTAAATCTTTAATACATGTATTATTTGCAAATTAAAAATTATTCAATGATTTTTTTGTTAATATAATCATTGTGTAGATCTATATTGTATAAATAGCATGTAAGTATATCTTTTTAATTTCCTGGAAATTAAACAATTTAAATAAATTTGATTAAATAGGACTAAATGGTACAATCAGTAGTTTTGTACAGTTGAACAGGGTCATCATAATCATTTATTATTTTACATGTTTGTGTTGTCTTTCCTATGGAACAATCTGAAATTACATTTTACACTCATAATTTGCAGGCTGCTCAGGGACTTAAGTGCTGACTGTGAGATGCCAGGTGTTTAATAATGATGTGCAGTATTAATCCTGAAAAGGTATATTTTTAAATCTCTATACTTAACTATTCAACATCTTTCCTTGAAAAATACATAACCAGTAATAAAAAGTGTCACAAATAAAGCAGTCAGTTAATTCTGATTCAGAGCAATTCTTAAACACTTGTACACATTGAATAACTGATTCTGTGTTGCTAAATTACTATTTTTGAATATGCTTTATAAGCATAGTTAATATTTAATACTGTTGCAACATAAAATTTGATATTATTAAAAAATATAAAATATAACTGCATGTAATTATGCAATAAAACATAATTGAGCCCTGTCATGACAAAACCAACATAATGGGTTTGCGACCAGCATGGATCCAGACCAGCCTGCGCCTCAGCGCAGTCTGATCAGGATCCATGCTGTTCGCTATCAGTTTCTCTACTTGTAATAGGGTTTGTAAGCGAACAGCATGGATCCTGATGAGACCGCGCGGATGCGCAGGCTGGTCTGGATCCATGCTGGTAGCAAACCCATTATGTTGGTTTTGTCATGACACGGCTCAATTCATTACAAAATATTTGTTTAATTAATTATGAATTTTATTATTAAAGGTGAGCACAACCACAAGAAGTTCTAGGAAACACAGGCAGTGGACTTAAAACAGACATGGATTAAAGAAATAGTAATTTAAATAATCAGAAACATTTGAAACAAATTTATGATTGAAACTCTTCTAGCAAAATAATTGCACAAAAAAACAAAGTGTTGGATTCTAAGATTCCAAAACCTGCAGCTAGAAAAAAAACTGTTTGTGTTATAGTGAATGTAGGGTATTCTATTCAGTATTTGGACTTAAGGATATGATATTTTTTTTATTAAATTTTGTGAAAGAAAATTTAATGTGATACATTATTGATAATTTTATCCCAAAATATGTGATCATGCTAAACTCATAAAATTCCGCCCCCTGAATTCTGTCCCAGAATTCCGCCCAGAATCTTGTTTGACAATTCTGCTCCGAAATTCCGCCCCAAGGTTCCGCCCCAAGATTCCGCTTCAAAATTCCGCCCCAAGATTCCGCTTCAAAATTCCGCCCCAACTCATTTGCATATTTCGTCCCAATTCCGCCCAGAATCCGTTCCGTTTCCGCCTGGAATCCGGCCGGAATCCGTGCCAAAAGCAAATGGTTTAACACTTATATATTCGGGGGAGAATTTAAATTTCTGGGCGGAATCTGCCTTTGAATTCTGCCCCATTTCCGTGCAGAAAATTTCGTACAGGTGAGGTTTGTTATATAAAATATGAAAAGGCTAAATCAGGTATGTTATAAGGCTAAATCAGGAATGTTACATAGAATATGAAAAAGCTTAATCAGGAATGTTACATATGATGTTATATTTTATATGAAAAAGGGTTAAATCAGGTACGTTATATAAGATATAAAAAGACTAAATTAGGTATTTTATGCAGGATATGTAAAGGCTAAATCAGGTATGTTATATACTGCAGTCTGGGAAATAAGGCACACCTCGATGCCATAGGCGAGAAAAATCCCATTTGGGCCTGCAAAAATCCATAGCAAAAATGTAAACCCGAAGTTCGTTTTAATTTGGAATATGTCTTCATACAAAATGAGTTTCAGTTTTAATTCTTTTGAAATTATTGAGACTGGGAGATAAACTTTGTGGTTGTGTTACTTAGGGTTATTCATTTATAGAATGCAATGCTTCTTTTGTTGATATTTGTTTTCATATTTTAAACAAAGTAGAAAGCAGTAGATTGGCAAGTAAAGTTAAGTATATAGAAAAAAGATAATTTAATTTAAAAACTGGCTGACTGATATACCGAGCTTGTGTGCCTACATTAAACTGTTGTCTTTATTTTGCACAATAAGTGTTTTGGGCCTGTGATAATCTGTCAATGCAGGTCCATACTAATTTTCTGTATTATTAACTCATTGATTTGTCCTTAACAAACAATTGGATTTCATATAATCAATTAAATTACAGAACGGCGGAAAAAGCTGATTGAACATTATCACAAAACCCTGCTGCAAGTTCCTACATCACCTTTACAACCAAAAAGTGAAAAATGTAGCTTCAATGAGATTTATATTAGACCCAAAATAACGAGGGAAATAAAAGGAGAGAAAGGGGAGACAAATGAAGTGAGGGTTAAAACAATGTCAGAAATCTTCACAAAGGAGGGAGTCCCCCAAAAATCTGTATATGTTCTAGGAGATGCAGGGTCAGGAAAAACTAGTTTTTGTAAATATCTGGTCAACTGTTGGTGTTTGGCACACAGTGAGGAACATGAAGCTGACAATGAAGATGGCAATGAAAATGAAGAAGGCAATGGTAAACCTGAAGGTGACAGTGAAACACATGGAGGTGATGGTGAAAAACATGGAGCTGGCAATGAAAATGAAGGTGGCAGTAGTAAACCTGAAGGTGACAGTGAAAAACATGGAGGTGATGATGAAAAATATGGAGGGGTCAATGAAAATGAAGATGGCAATAGTAAACCTGAAGGTGACAGTGAAAGACATGAAGGTGATGGTGAAAAACGTGAAGCTGGAGTTGTCAATGACAATGAAGGTGGCACTGAGAAACAAGGAGGTGATTTGGAAGAACATGAAAAAAAGGGAAGTGACATTGTAAATGAAGAGGTAAAGGGGACACATAGTGGAGACATTGGAAACGAAGAGGGCAGTAAGACACATGGAGGTGTTAATGAGAAAGGAGGAGAAAAACATGTGGGTGGCATTAAGAAAAATGAAAGTGATAGTGACGACTCTGATGGTGACTTAATACACTCCGAATCCGATAGTGACGACTCTGATACTGACTTAACAGACTCTGAATTTGACAGTGATGACTCTGAATATGATAGCAAAAATTATGAACTTAAATTCAATGGTGTAAAAGAGATGAAGAAATTTGATTTTGTATTTTACATCCCTCTTAGACAGTATCAGAACATTGACACTATCGATGAAATGCTTCAAAAACGTTATCAGATGAAAATGTTAAACACACTTCTTGAAGAGGAATCCTCTAGAGTTATGATTTTACTTGATGGCTTAGATGAATGGTCTTCTGAAAATGTCCCAGAACATAGCATCTTTAAGGAGTACACAATATTAACTACTTCGCGGCCATGGAAATTTCATACATTAAGATCAAATGATGTGGAGATTGACCAGTCATTAAAACTGAAAGGTTTTGATTTTAGATGTGAATGGGAAATGGTCAATAGGACAGTCTCACAATTAAATGTAAATAGACATGCTAATAAAGAAGCTAGAGACTGTAGGAAAAAGCTGAAGGAAAAGTCTCTGAAAAGTTTAAAACAGGTACCAATTATGCTACAACAACTGATATGTCTATGGTTTGATGGTAAACTCGATAAAACCTCAAGATGTGCCATCTACACCGGTATGTTAGAGTTATTCTTCACCTGGAATGACATGAAAACTACAGGAACAAGTACTCGACTCATGAAGGGTACCCAGAAAGTAGATCTTCCTAAATATTTAGCCGATAAAACCAAATTAAGATTAAACCGCCATTTCATTTATGAAGTGTCACAGTTGGCTTATGAGACACTATTTAATTGTCCGAAGGATAAATCCTTGACATTTGACATTTGTATGTTTGATGAACTAGAAATATCAGATGAAGTAAGAGAAAATTGCTTGAAACTTGGAATATTGACAGAAGATGAATGTCCAAGTTTATCTGTATCAGAACCACCAAGCTCATTGTTCTCTTTTATTCACAAATCAATGCAAGAATTTCTGGCTGCAGTGAATATTTGCATCAATTTCAATGCAAAAATTGGTTTGTCAGATAGTACAGGAAATGTTGAATTAGCCAAGAAGTTTATTAATGAGGTTTTTCAGAAATGTTCAACAGTAAATGACATATTAGAGCAGTCAAATGTAATTATTATGCTATCTGGTCTAGAACCAAGATTAGCAACACATGTTTCAAAATACATATATGATACTGTGTCAGAAGACTCTCGTGTTCAGGAATACAGGAGAACAATAAGTAGTGACATTTATGAGGACCATAGTTGTATTACTGATATTCAAAAGCTTATGTTTGAGTCAATGGAAGAATTAAATGCAGCATGTAGTATAGGAAGTAATCCTGTATTTTATATAGGAGATTTGGTCATTGATATAAGGAATCAGTATTGTGATATTGTTTGTTCAGGTATTGATCAGCATCAAATTGTTCCTGACTCTGTTCGGTCTATTAGGGTAGATTACATCAACACACAAAATGTTAAATTTACAAAATATTTACCAATGTTTCATCATCTTGAAAGCATTAAAATAACATATGATGAATCTCAAATGTTAGATACACAAAATGATAGTCCACAGAGTAATGAACAGATGATTAATGAGGTAAACAATAATTGTGTTTGTGAGACAATTAAAGTTAATACTTCAACATTAAAATCTCTGTCTCTTAGTAGTGTCTCTAACACTGACGAGTATTACCCAGTGTATAAAACAGTTGTTAGTTACCTACCTAGTATGATCAATCTTGTAACAATAAGTATGTATAATATTAAAATGAGTCATGATGATACTACTACATTTTGTAATTTTCTTGAGAGAACCAGTCATCTTGAACAAATACATCTTCATCATGTTAAATGTGAGTGTAGGAAGCAGCATGATGTAAATTTATCAAAACATCAACAACTTCAGTACCTTGATTTGTATGATACTGTTAGTGTGATAGATGCTGATACTACAAACCTTGAAATATTTACATTTAATGAATTGAAAGATAGTAATTATGAGAAAATATTTGATATTATTAGAAAATCTTACAAATTAAAAGAACTTGAATTGTATGGAGATGATAACAATAAATCTCAATTATATCATACCAACATAACAAAGAGACTAGTCACAGTATTACCATTGTTACACAATCTCAGTAAGCTTGAGTTACAGTATTGTAGGTTAACTGACAATATAATACAGTTACCTTTAGAGATGAAGAGTTTAAAGAACATTAAGCTTTATTATGTCATAATGAGTTTGACAACATGGCAGAAGTTTGTTGATAGTCTTCCTGGTATTCCTCATACTGTAGATGTGAGTGTAAGGAACTGTTATATAACAGGAGATGGTGAGGAGTTTAATGATGATAGGTTAACATTGATATCACAAGGACTTAGAGGAGGGAAGGGAAATGATGCTATACAGTATGTAAAAGACCAGGATCAGTTATTTCATGTTAAACGTGATGATGATGATTGGTTTGACTTTTCAACAAAAAAGTGATAAAGTATCCATGTAGTTACATAGTGTTTGAACTATTTTTTTTCAATATTAACAATAAAAATAATGGTTTGAATCTTTAACACAGTGAAATAGGATACATGACGTTAACATAGTGATTAAACTAAATTATTGCATGTTAAAAGAGATAATTTTTTTGTTCATTTTTGACAAAAAAGAAATGATCTGAAAATTTAACATAGTGAGATAGAATACATGCAGTTAACATAGTGCTTAATCTAAATTATTTCATGATAAAAGACATAATTATTAAAATAAACATTATCAGCAAAAAAAAAATAATACTAAAGTTACATATTGATATGTTAAATAATGAATGTAATACAATATGATAGATAACAATCATCAAAAACAGTTCATTAAATATCAATTTCTGATCATTGTAGTAATATTGAAATTGATGAAAGTAATATTCAAATGTGTTTTTAAATAAATGATTGAAAGAAATGCAGTGAAATATAAAGAAAATTAAGGTAACTGTTTTCTTAAAAGATCAGGGATAGTTTGTGAAAATAATATCATTTGAAAAAATTAATGTTCTAATTATAAATGCATGCATAGATTTGTAAATAAACAAGTAAATGAATTAATGAATAAGTAAATATCATAAATGATGTTTAATGTAATTAACATGGTCAGAAGAAGTATAAGATAAATATAACATTCAAATACCAGCTATACAGTGTTATATGACATATGATAGGATGAAGGAATGGTATATGTAAATACCGGTTATATGATATATATGTCAAGGGAATGGTATATGTAAATACCAGTTATATGATATATAGGACAAGTGAATGGTGGTATATATAAATACCAGTTATATGATTTATAGGACAAGTGAATATGGTATATGTAAATACCGGTTATATGACAAAAATGTCAAGGGAATGGTATATGTAAATACCAGTTATATGATATATAGGAAAAGTGAATATGGTATATGTAAATACCGGTTATATGACAAAAATGTCAAGGGAATGGTATATGTCAATACCGGTTATATGATAAATATGTCAAGGGAATGGTATATGTAAATACCGGTTATATGATAAATATGTCAAGGGAATGGTATATATCAATACAAGTTATATGATATATAGGACAAGTGAATGGTATATAAAAATACCAGTTATATGTTAAATGTGTAAAGGAAATGCTATATATCAATACCAGTTATAATATATAAGGGAAAATGGAATGGTATAAATGTATATCAGTTATATGTTATATAACACAAAGGGATGTTATATGTAAATACATGTTATACAATATTTAGACAATTGAATTATTTATACTAATACCAGTTGTATGATATGTAGGACAAGTGTTTGGTATATATAATTACCAGTTTTATGATTTATAGGATAAGGTAATGGTATATATTAATACCAGTTATATGATATATAGATCATGGGAACAGTATATTTTATTACCTGTGATATGATATATAGTGGAATGGTAAATTTTATATATGAATACCTGTTAGATGATATATAGGACAAGTTAATGATATACATAATTGTTTTCATTGAGATGAGGACGATTTACATGTTATGTTTTAGAGATTCCTTCTTGGATTGTTTTATATTGTAGAGATTGTAAAAAGGCGAGAAATGTTATAATTATGCAAAGCGATTTATGTGTACAGATTAATACAGTTAGTAATTTTCAAATTGTATAGTTAAAGGGACTCCACTAAGGATTTTATTATATTAATTGTTTGACATGATAGGATGTCTAATGGGAGTTATGTTGTTGATGTGTCATACCATTTGATGAAGATCTATTACTTTTCATGTACAAAAAGTGTATGCAAAATTTTTGATTATTTGCTAACTTTGTTTTTCCAAAATAATAGTTATCATTTTAGCTCGGCTATTCAATGAATAGCTAATGCTATAATAGTACTTACCGCATTGGCGTCAAACTTAGGTTACTTTTATGTGTGCAAGTTGGTATCTAAAAAACTACTGAAGGCAAATTTCAATTGACATGCTTGTTCTTTAACATGACTAACGCAAATCCCATACCTCTGATATTTTTTCCTCATATTTATCCCCCTTTTACGACTTAAAAAATATTGGTTAAGTTTATACGTATAAGAGTGGATTAGAACTTCACACATATATATGAGAGGAATAGGAAGTCACTGACTCCGAGCACATAGATATTTGACAGAATTATTTCCCTTTTTGAAGTTAGAAAGTTCTGCATTATCTAATTTATCCATCACTGTGTTTAAATGTTTATAGCTCAAGTCCGTCTGAAAATTACACTTCATTAATATCGATTTTCAATTTTATTCTGAGTATATTTCTTTAGTATCATTTTTTCCCTTATTTAATATCCCGATTAATCAGTTTTGGCTTTTTGTATTCTTTATTGTTTGGCTTTTGGACCTCAGTGGAGCTCCTTTAAGTGAACTCTTTGTTGTTTATGTTAGAATGATAATTTTAAACACAAGGCAAGTATAGATATACCTTGCTGTAAATTTATATGTACTAGTATATACTGTAACTACATAGACAGTATAACATAATTTTTAATCAAAACATGTTATAGACCATAGATGTAAATATGAATTTTAGCTCGACTCACCTGACACAAAGTGACATGGTGAGCTATTGTGATCACTTTTTGACCGGCGTCTGTCCGGCGTAATAGTTTACTTTAAACAATATCTCCTCATAAACCGCTAAGCCAGTTTCATTAAAACTTCACAAGAATGTTCCTTTGGTAGTCAACTTAAAAATTCTTCAAAAAATTTAATTCCATACAGAACTCTGGTTGCCATGGCAACCTAAAGAAAAAACATAAACATTTTCTTATAGAAAAACTGAAAGAGCTAGAGCTTAAATATTTGGCATGAAACATTGTCTAGTCAGTGTTTACCAAGTTTATTCAAATAAATTCCCAGGTGTCAGAAATAGGAGGGGGGTGTCATTGATTTTAATTATACATACCAGTTCTCAGCTGCCCCTTGGGGATATATACAAGTTCTCAGCTGCCCCTTGGGGATATATACCAGTTCTCAGCTGCCCCTTGGGGATATATACCAGTTCTCAGCTGTCCCTTGGGGATATATACCAGTTCTCAGCTGTCCCTTGGGGATATATACCAGTTCTCAGCTGTCCCTTGGGGATATATACCAGTTCTCAGCTGCCCCTTGGGGATATATACCAGTTCTCAGCTGTCCCTCAGGGATATATACCAGTTCTCAGCTGCCCCTTAGGGATATATACCAGTTCTCAGCTGTCCCTTGGGGATATATACCAGTTCTCAGCTGTCCCTCAGGGATATATACCAGTTCTCAGCTGTCCCTTGGGGATATATACCAGTTCTCAGCTGTCCCTCAGGGATATATACCAATTCTCAGCTGTCCCTCAGGGATTTATACCAGTTCTCAGCTGCCCCTTAGGGATATATACCAGTTCTCAGCTGTCCCTTAGAGATATATACCAGTTCTCAGCTGCCCCTTGGGGATATATATACCAGTTCTCAGCTGTCCCTTAGGGATATATACCAGTTCTTAGCTGTCCCTTAGGGATATATACCAGTTCTTAGCTGTCCCTCAGGGATATATACCAGTTCTCAGCTGCCCTTTAGGGATATATACCAGTTCTTAGGTGTCCCTTGTTGATAAATACCAGTTCACAGCTGTCCCTCAGGGATATATACCAGTTCTCAGCTGCCCCTTAGGGTTATATACCAATTCTCAGCTGTCCCTCAGGGATATATACCAGTTTCTAGCTGCCCCTTGGGGATATATACCAGTTCTCAGCTGTCCCTTGGGGATATATACCAGTTCTCAGCTGTCCCTTAGGGATATATACCAGTTCTCAGCTGCCCCTTGGGGATATATACCAGTTCTCAGCTGTCCCTTAGGGATATATACCAGTTCTTAGCTGTCCCTTAGGGATATATACCAGTTCTTAGCTGTCCCTCAGGGATATATACCAGTTCTCAGCTGCCCTTTAGGGATATAATACCAGTTCTTAGGTGTCCCTTGTTGATAAATACCAGTTCTCAGCTGTCCCTTAGGGATATATACCAGTTCTCAGCTGCCCCTTGGGGATATGTTCAAGTTCACAGCTGTCCCTCAGGGATATATACCAGTTCTCAGCTGCCCCTTAGGGATATATACCAATTCTCAGCTGTCCCTTAGGGATATATACCAGTTCTCAGCTGCCCCTTGGGGATATATACCAGTTCTCAGCTGTCCCTTGGGGATATATACCAGTTCTCAGCTGTCCCTTAGGGATATATACCAGTTCTCAGCTGCCCCTTGGGGATATGTTCAAGTTCACAGGTGTCCCTTAGGGATATATACCAGTTCACAGGTGCCCCACGAGGATACAAACAAGTTTTCAGCTACCCCTCGGATAAGTTATCGGCATAAGTCAGTTCTCAGGGATATATACCTGTTCTTGACTGCCCGTAGGGGGATAATATATAAATTCTCGGTTACCCCCAGTGAGGGGATGTATTCCAGTTTTCATCATAATTCAGTTCTCAGTTGCCCCTCAGGAATATAATAAGTCTCAGCTATACCTGAGGGATATATACCAGCTTTCGGATGTCAATATGCTCTCTCACACAGACAGCCATAATTTATAAGTTTATATACTATCAGATGTTTATGTTCATAGATAATTTCTGTAACAGTTGAATTAGAAATTTTTTAATTAAACAATTTGTCAAATTTTAGTACCAAGATATGGTAACATTATAGGCAAAAGTTATATTTCTGCTGATGTCAGCATAATAAGGATATGTTAGTTTACATGTATTGTAAAACATGTTACATGAAATTACTCAAAAGTTACGTTGTAATCTTGTGTCTAAGAATGCATCCTGGTTAACCAATGCATAACTCGTTGCCTATACACTTCATTCGTGATGAATGTAGTTCAGTCAAATCTGTATGTATGGGTTCGGACGATGCTAAAATGTAGTTTTATGCCTTCAGACAGTAATGATATAACTACATCTTATTAAAGGTATGTCAGCTTTTTTTTGCTTGCTGATGTTTAGTATATACCAAGATTAAGATATGTTATATATAAACATATTTTACAC